GTAATTGTAATAGGCTGGGTAAATTAGTGAATATAAGTGGCAAAATAATCAGGAATAATCAAATCAACTTAAGCATCCTTTACAAACAGAGGGTGACTGAGAAAGCCAAAAGCATCATGGAGTGTGTGTCTCACCCCCTCCATTGTGAATTTACACTTCTACCATGTGGGAGATGCCTCTGTACCCCCAGGTGTAAAACCAACAGACTCAGGAAGTCTTTAATTCCCACTGCAATTACACTCTTAAACAATGCAAAGTAACTACCTTGTCTCTTGTTTCTTTTCTCCTTTAACAGTACTGTGTTCTCTTCCCTTTTGATGATGTGTATTTGCCATTGTATTGTGTTTGACTGTTTCATAAAACAAATTTCTCCTAGGGGACAATAAAGCTTGAATTGAATTTAGTGGAGAAATAAGGGAACTTAAAGAGAAGCTTACTGCTACCACTCAGATTGAATTTGATACACAATGCGTTTCACATATTTTCAAGACAACAATGTCAGTAAAAGTCCTGGATATGCTAACATCAGTGGACACTTACTGAGGTCATGTGCTGAGCAGCTCAGTACTATATTTCATTGTATTTTCAATGTATCTGAATCAGCAGAAAGTACCTAAAATTTGGAAATGGGCAACAATCAAACCAGCTGCAAAACACAAATGCCCCAAAACACAAAGTTCTTTTCTATAGCATTGACCTTTTTAATTATTTTTACTTTACTTACTTATTAATTAAGTTATTTGAGAAAACTGTTAAAAGGCTTCACCAGATATAGTTCCTACTGGAGCCCATGCAGTTTGCTTACAGGGCTAGAAGATCAGTCAAAGATGCTACCCTTTACACATATACACATTACTGATTCTTATATTCCTTATCTAGAAGGTCCTAACATACGTGCTCTGCTTTTATTTATAGATTTCTCTATCTATAAATAAATCTCTAAGGATCTTTCAAAATAGCTTATGAATGAAGTTGTGTAAAGGCATATATCAGGTGAAAAATATAAAAAAATCAAAGACCCCAAATTTAACTTTGAGCTTGGAGAAGACAACCATTAAGAAATGTAATATAGAAGTGCATCATACAACCCAGACACTGCCTAAATCAGGCTTTCCCTTTAAACTGAGCTGCCAGGCAATGGGGAAATTGTAAAGGAACAAGTAAAGGTTTATTCCATGCTAAAAAGAGTAGAAAAGAAATAAGACGATTTGGCTGCGTGAGGCCAACATTGTCTTTGAAAGAGTTACAGTGGCAGAGATAAGAGAAAATGTCAATGAGTAAACAATATTGCTATTATTCCACAAAGGGGACATGTATGGAACTGAATAAAATGTATCTCCAATAATACAATAATACAATACTATATGGTACTGAAAACATGTGACAAAACATTTTATTGTCAGTTCAGAAAGAATTGAAACTATTTGGTCTAAATGCAAAGATTTACATCTGATGCCAATCTAACAAAGTGGATCATTCAGTCAAAATCATTCCTACAAGCATGATGGTAGCTGCAGTATAATTCTGTTTCTCCTCAGCAGGGACTCAGAAGCTTGTTAAGAATTGGAAAACCTGCTTCAAACCTAAAACTATAAAAAAAAGTACCATTTTACAAAGTTAATTAATATTAACAAGGTTATTAATATTAATAACTTTTACAAAGTTATTAATATTAAAGTGAATGTCCTTAAGTGGACCAGTCATTGTTAAAATACGTTAACGAGTTAATGAGTATTTAAGTTTAAAAATTAGTATTCATCATTTTAGATTTTTACAGCCTTTTTAATGGCATATGTAGATTCCATACCTACGCTACACAGCATGACATCTTATCTCTAAGCATTTTAAGTGGCCTGCTCTTTCTCTTCTGCTTCTTTTCTCACTATATAACACCTCTGGAATAAAAAGAAGAGTTTGGTTAGAATGAAAACAAGAAGAGGACTCTAAGGTCTATAATTGAAAAATGTAGTTTTAGGATAATCTTTAATTTTCATATGTTTTCGATGTATTCTACATGTTGTTTGTTGTTTATGTGGACAAATCAGTCCCACTGGGCAAAACAAAGGCAGAGCACCATGGGCAGTTGTGCTGATGTCTTTGGTTTTCTCTGCAGCTATGGCCGGAGATGGGAAGAAGCCTAGTGCCTCCCAGCTGGAGCTCCGGATGGTTCAGAGCAAAATGGATATAGAGAACCCGGAAATCGTGATAGAAGCCACAGTGCTATAAATAACATATCCACCCTGTTAACCGCACAATGTATAGATGTTGTACATTTTACCTGTAATGTGTCATTGCCTTAGATCTACTACAGAGCACAACATTTCCATAAGTCAGAAACTAGCAGGGTATTAGTGGTGGGATATTCAAGAGAAAGAAGTAGAGTGGCCTGGATATAGTGTATCCCCTTTCCCTTTTTCTCTAGAGCTGCATTAATCTTGTTTTTAATTTACCCTAGTGGTCTGGAGGTCCACTCATGGCTGAAAATATTGAAATCTGAATTTCTTTCCTGTAACCATTAAAGTACTGTTTATTCAGGCTTCATTGGCTTAATTGTAAAGAGCCTTTATAGTCAACTTGCATTTTTTCACTAAATAACAGCTTGTTATTTTATTATTGTCCAGTGCAGATCAATTTAGGCATAATCACTATTTTTAAATAAAAAATTCTTTAACCATGCAGTTTCTTTTGTGTAAACACAGAAGTTATGACTGATTGGGTCTTCACAACAAAACCTTGGATTTAAAGGATGATTGCTCATTACAAGTTTATTTGAATGATATTCTGGTTAGACATAGCATTGTTCAACAAAGTTTTGCCATTAGTTTAGCGGCAAAGAGTCCTTATGGCATGTTAAACAGTTTGGTGCAAACACACAGCTGTGAGATTTGCAGACAACCTAAAATAGATTAATTTTCTAGGCTCAATTCAATTAGATTGAAAAAAATCACATGCCCTTTTGCGTTATGATTGATGTATTCCATAATTTATTCCTCAGCATTCAATGTTAGGTATTCAATGCTTTAGTTTTTGTTGTATCTGGAAAATTCTACTGTGACTTTTAAACAGTTTTATCTGCATTCTATTGTTATTTGTATAGTTTTAAATGCAGTATTAAATGCACCATTGTGGTAATCTGGATAAGCTTCTCTCTCATTTACTGCTGGAATTCCTAGACATAAATTTTCCTATGTCATGATGTTCATTGAAGTTCTTTGTCTTAGAAATAAAGGAAAATAACGTTCAAACTTTAGACCAGTTGCTTATCAGTGAAGGCCTGTCTTTTGCAGCATTTAGCAGGTTAAGAGTATTAACATCACTTCATTAGCCCTATACAATTTCTTGCATCAGGAATTCGTCTTTTTGCATACCCCAGCTTGCTCTCACAGACACAGACACACAGACAGGGAGAGAAGCTTGGTGTCAGCTTAGTTGAGCTGCAACTATAGTTGAGAAATAACTGTTTTGACATATCAAATTATATTTAATATATCTCTTTCAGGCAAATGTAATGTTGTCTGTGTAGATTTAAAATTACAAATGACAATTGTTCTTCCTAAATATTAATATAAAGTGTAGACAAATTTTCATTTTTATGTTTTTTTAGATTCCATGCAAAAGAGAAACTCTTATGGTGAACAAATCTTTCACAGCCTATTAACTCAGACTGTTTGTTCCTTGGACAGTCACAAGCTACACCTTCACCCATCCATTCATTTAATAACCGCTTCCTCCAATTCATGCTCACAGGGGAGCTGGAGTTTCTCCTGGCAAGCAATGGGCACAAGGCTGGGCACACCCTGAACAGGATGCTAATCTATTGTAGGACACAGTCACCACACTCACAACAGGGCCAATTTTCCCAGTAGCTAGTAAAGCTACTAATATGTCTTAGGAATGTGGTCTTCTAACAGTAGGAAGAATCCAGAGCACTTGTAGGATACCCATGAAAACACAGGGAGAGCATATCCACACAGATAGCTTTCCAGGTCAGGAATTGAACCCAGGGCCACAGCGTTGCAAGACAGCAAAAGTAACCACTGCACCAGAATGTCACCTACAAGCCACACCTGTATATGTGAGATGATTATTTCTTATAAATCAACACTTCAAATCCATTACAAAAAAATAAAATTAATTATAAATCTTATTTTCACATTTTATATTCACATTTTCCAAGTACTTATACTGAGTGCATCTGGAATAAAGTTTTAGTCTACAAATTTGATTGTAGAAGCAAATGTATACTATATTGTATTTTATCCTAGCTGACTTAGGAATGTATAAGTACTGTATTTTCCTCTGTAAAATCCATATTAAATATAAAAGATTTCAATAAATTATTCCTATTAATGTAAATATTTACTTGAACTTTTATCCAAAGTAACTTACATTTGAACCCAATTTAAATCACCAGTTCAGAGCCCTAACCTCTGCTCTTTAACTTTAACAACAGTGTCTTAAATGTACTAAGCCATTATTTCATTAGTGTTTTTGTTGTACTGTTGTTACTATAACACAGGGCAACAAGTCCCCATTGTGCCCTTGTGAATAAAGCTTTCAAGCTTTGCTATCAATTTCACTACGCTATATTTGACTGTCCAATGGTGTGAAAGGGAACAGTTTTTTTTTTTAATAATGTGGACCACATTATTCTTTTGAATCCCAGGAATCCTTTTAGGTTGATGCAGCTCTGAAATGTATTCCTCTTCCACTTTCCACTTTGACCCTCTGAACTGTTTTTCTGTATTGTAGCTTTGCGTGTTTTCTCTTTATAGGGGTTGGGGTGTGAGTCATGTGGGGATAGAAGAAAAGGCCTTGCTGTAACCAGTGCTGATGAAAAGAGGCCACTGTTTCTTGTTGACTTGCTTGGCAAGTCGACACATACTACAGCCAAGTCTCATACAAATTTATTTCCTTTTGTTTGCACGGTTTTTTGCACAGAAAACCAGAAAATAAACATCAGAGTCCAGGTGAATCTTTAAGCAGGCAGTTTTTTTCTTTTCTTTTTTGGTTCAACTTAAATATAAAGGAAGAAATGTCCAAAGCAGAACTGTCATTTATTTGAATATGCTGTATTACATAATACTATAACTTGTACTGTGCATGAAGTAAAATATATAGATATATGAAGAATTATGGTCCCTTTAATGCAGTGGTTTAAATATGTGCTGGAAATATGTGTTGGCCTATTTGAAAAAAAAATGTTATATCTTTAGAATAATATTGTATCCAAACCTCCTAAAATGTTTTTAAGAGAGTTTACCATGGTTCTCTTGCTTAACAGTATGGCAGAGTTCTAACTAAATTGGACATTTAGTCAAATCCCTAACTTTCGTGATACACAATGTAAGAAGGGAGGCTGGTATATATCACAGATGTAAAGATGCATCTACTGTATATGTAAGTTAGAAATTAGTTAAGTATGAGGACAACTTTACAACTGAAGCAAGCAAAGCTATCAATATAACACAATCAAATAAGAAAACGCAAAAAACACTTGTAAATATAAGGAGGGTTGTTATAAAAATATGTAGTATAAATAAGGATAAAGGAGTATGATTTCATTATGTTACAAAAGTTCTAACAGACATAAACAAAACAGGATGCAGTAATGCAGCAATACAGTAATGCAGAAAACTGAATTACTGTATGTACTGTATCTTCTCTGCTCCTGGGATTAATTACTTAATTTTTGCTAGATCTGATATTTTAACTGATTTAAAACATGATTTTCACATTATTGTCCTGTAATGGATCAAAATTCAATTTGCACCAATGTTTTTCTGCATTAAAACTTTCTGAACTGGATAAACAGCTACTTACCAATGTACAGTAAGAATGTCAATCAGCTGGAACACATTCACACAGAGAGGTGACTCAAGGCAGGGACTTCTCTGTGGTGTTTGCATTACTGATGTCATAGTTGGGCACCCCCTTCCTCTTTCTCTGTGACCATGTCTGTCCCTACCAGTTGAAGTGACAGTGTTTGCTTTCTGTTATTTTTTCTTAATGAAAGTATTTGATTGTTTAGTAAGGTTTTAAGTGATTTGTTTTTTGAGTCTGAATATTTTATAACATGTTACAATGAAGATTGTAGTGTACAAATTCACATTTATATAATATGGTATAATGCAATAAACAAAAAAAAATATTATATTACCTATGTGTTTTTGTTTTTTTTGCATTTGTGAGCAAAACCATCTTCTATATCCTATGCAGGTCAAGCATCAAATCATGTGCTGAGCAGAAAGTGACATGCAATGAGTACTATTTAAGATTGTTTACTCATCAGTGCTCAGCCATGAGCAGTGGTTTGGTCAATGCTTTTATGATACCAGTGTGATATACTGTTATCCTATTTTATTTTATTTGATGTAGATTATGATATAGATAGCTGACTAAATTTGCATTAGTTACAAAAATAAAGAGATCAGAAAACATAGCAAATTATATTTAACAGTGACAAGTACCAAGTTACAACATTAAGTAGGAACATATTGCAAAGGTGATCCCAGACTGTGTAAAAGTGATCTAGGCATCTACTATATGTACTCTAGATTCTTTTACATCCTTATCAAAAACACTATAGGGAAGAAATACAAAAGCATATAGAATGTTTGGATATAGTGTAGATACAGTGGATATAAAAAGTCTACACACCCTTATTGAAATTGCAGGTTTTTGTGATGTAAATCCAGAAATCAAGATAAATCATGTCAGACATTTTTCCATCTTTAATGTGACCTTGCAACTAAC